TGTTTAATAACACATTTCCAAATCGTGATCCTATTTCAAAACGCTCTGTATCAGTCAAATGCATTTTCGATACAACCGATAGAAAACCAACCATAAACTTACAATGGAACAACGAATAATTGTATGAAATTATTTTTACAACGATACCGGCATGAAGAAGATACTCGAAAACAATTTAAAGCTCATGAGGTCAAAACTTCTTATTTGCATAAATAATGTGGTAGTTACCTAATCAATACGGGTTTTACACAGAAATACTATTATGTACTAATTTTACATAAAATACATAAAAATTTCATTGAATGAATGAATTATTGAATCTAAATTGATTTCGACCTGCACCTCTCAAACACACACACACACACACACACACACACACAAACAGGTGACGGCAAGGGGAACCACCTGAACAAAGCACCCCGAAGAGATGTAAACCCGACCGTGCAACCTCCACGCGGTACATCTCGGGTAATGCTAATGCCGGCGGTATTGTTAGAAAAGACTGATCATACATATTGCAGGATGTTTGAAATTGCAGTTAAAACCTCGCTAAGTTACTACTGCCATCCCTGAAATTTTCAAAATGGTCAAAATTTTCTAATTGTCAAAATTGAATTTTCCCGCCAAAAGTGAACGCAGTGCCCTCTATGCGTAGTGTTTTGGATTCGTCTCGAAAAGACCTTTCCAATGAGCCCCCACTCGACCTATGTTGCCATTTAAGATTTTCGACCCCCCTCGTGCCCCACGTGCCTCCTTAGGGGTGGGGGGTTGTAACCCCCTCAAAAGATAGATTTTTTGAAAAATCATTTCACGTGTTTCAGCGTTTTTTTTAATACCGATGGTTTTTGAAATATTTGACCGTTCCGGAACTTTTTCCCATCACTGTATACGTTTTAAATACATTTTTAAAACGTTACTGTGCTGTCTGGGGAGACCATTTGTTTCCATTGTTTCTTCGAGCAGATCCACTGGCGCTAGTTTCTGATCTAATTATTCGGCGGTATATATCACGTAAGCTTTTAAATTTTGTTTCAGCTTCATTGGCTGTAATTTTCCAATTTAAAGCATTTGCTACTTCTTAATTGCCATAAATTTTTTGTAATTTTTATGTTACATAGTGGTAATGCGGAAATTTAAATTCCAAAGAGGCTCTCGTAACTGGACTTCTAAAATGAGAGTTTCTTCATTATTATGATTAAGTTTTGCTTTTAAGCCTTCATCTGAATTTCTTCGTTTCTCACACGAATTTTGCTCAGATAATATTCCTTGTATTAGCGTAATAAAATCTAAATACA